CATCAACTTAATTAGACCCTGAATGCCCTAAAGGTTCAGCTGCAGAATTAGTAAACTCATTCCTTTGCTCTTCTGTGACTTGGGTTACATTCCAAGTCAATATTAACATAAAGATAGCCAGGTGGACAGTTTCAGAAGAGCATGACTTGTCTTTTTCTTTTGTCTTCTGGGCAAGCTCTTGTAGAAGGTAACACATTCCCTCCTGATTTCATTTCAAAATGCTTTTATTATGAAGACTGGGTGGAGCCCTGGCTCATATTCCTGGACTTTGACTTGCACAAGTAGTCTTCTTCTTTCTCTTGGCATACTTGGCGTCTGGGGCGCGGGGAGTCTGTGGTAGCCCAGTCCTAACAGTCCGCTGCCGGGTGTTCTGATTGGCTTTATCTGAAGCGCGGGTTAGACCTTCACTGACCTGGCTAACCGAGGATGCAGCTGGACAGAAGAGGAATGGAAACAAGCTGGCCTTGCGGCAAGTAGAATGGCCAACATCTTTACAGTCTCGGGTTAAACCAAACAATTTAATACTTATTCTTACCAGTTAAGCCTGAGTTTCTTGAAAAGGACATTGGTTATTATTACCATACTGTTATAATGGATATCATTTATTAAACACTTAATAATGGCTTTAAATTTTTTAATACTTACTATCTCTTTAATGCTCAAAACGATCCTAAAATATAGACAATATTATTATACACATTTTAGAGTTGAGAAAAGTAAGCTTTAGAGAGGTGAAAAACTGTTGCAAGGAGACTTGGGTAAGAAGGTTGAGAATCCGGGATTTGAGCAAAAGCCTGTATTTTCAATCACAATGTGGCTTTGTCTCCCACTTCATCATAGGATTGGTAGAAATGTCGATTTGGGGGAACTTAATGATTCAGGAGTGGCTGTTTAAAAACATTTCTCTATTTATTAACAGTTCAGTGAAGTTGGAATAAATTGAAAGTCACCACTAATCTCTTAGCTTATCCATCAAGGAAACCCAGATATTCAAAACAGCAGTGGCTTTATATAAAAGGCCATTTATTAAAACTACTGTACACTCTTCAGTGCTTTCTGGGGTTCTGGGAGTTTGGTCTCACGATCAGTCCAGTACAGTTTGCTCCTTAAGTGCTTGAGGAGCATTGTGCCATTCAGTGTTCCTACCACGTATAACAGGTGTGAATACATCAGATGATGTTCCATTTGTACCCCAAACAGTAATCAGCATTCTGCAATGAATTAGGATAGTACCAAACAATGTACAAATACTCAGATTTCTAAAATGTCCTGTTCCACTGACATTGATTCAAATTCAATTTGCTCTCCCTTTGACTCCATGTAGAGTTCTTGGTAGGGTAGTCTATTTCCAGTTGGTTGCAGAGACTCAAAATTTGGAACATTCTAGACATAAAACTGTATGAATACCTTATATTCTTCTCTACTTTATGAAACAGTTATCCATGGCTTATGCTTTTTTTAAAAAAAAGCAAAAATTTGGGAACAAGTTAAACAAATGAAGTCATATCACAGAATTTGTCCTCTATAATACCTAACAAAATAAACAAAAAGATCAAAATAAAATCACAATAGAAAAAGAATTATGCGAGACTACAAAGAGGGAGAGTCAGTGATTCATAACCTTAAAAAATGTCAGTTTATGAAAACCACCAATAGGAGAAGTGAGAGGATTCTAACCTTCCCTCTAGAAACCTAACCATAACTTCTAGAAAACGGATGTGTAAGTTGACAAAAATCTTGAGAATTTTCACCTCATTTGGAGAAAAGTGGATCAAATGTAAAGCTTTTTTTCTTTATGGGAGGATGGAAGTTGCAATGGCTACAGTTGAAACAGAAATGAAAAAGGAAAGGAGAATAAAAAATTATTGACACTTTGATAGAAGCATGGTCTCCAGCGCTCCACAGTGAAGAGCAGTGCCCATGCCAGACCGCCTTGCAGACAATGCTGATAACATCACCTCCTTTCTTAAACGTCTCTTGGCTCACCGAGATCCAGCTAACTCCACACTTTGTAATAAATACCTTTATGATCTGGCCTCTCTTTCTTGCTCTAAATTTTTACTTTCCCACTCTCCTAAATAAGCAGGATGTTTGCCTCTTAAATTTCAAGTGATTTCCAGAAAGCAGTTAATTCTTTCCAATTGTTCTTTTCAGG